GGCGCTCTAGGCTAGGTTTTAAACTGCATACGGCGCTCTAGGCTAGTTTTTAAACTGTATTTGGTGCTCTAGATTAGTTTTTAAACTGCATACGGCGCTGAAGGCTAGTTTTAAAACTGTATATGGTGCTCTAGATTAGTTTTTAAACTGCATACGGCGCTCTAGGCTAGTTTTTAAACTGCATACGGCGCTCTAGGCTAGTTTTTAAACTGTATACGGCGCTCTAGGCTAGTTTTTAAACTGTATATGGTGCTCTAGATTAGTTTTTAAACTGCATACGGCGCTGTAGGCTAGTTTTTAACTGCAGAAGGCACTCTAGATTAGTTTTTTAGCTGTATGCATTGCTCTACGCTAGTTTTTAACCACAGACGCACTCTAGATTAGTTTTTTATCTGTATGTATTGCTCTACGCTAGTTTTTAACAGCAGAAGGTGCTCTAGGTTAGTTTGTAACATCAGATGGTGCTCTAGGCTAATTTTAACAGCAGACGGCACTCTAGGTTAGTTTTTTTTACTGCAGAAGGCAATCTAGGTTATTTTTTTTTACTTTATACGGTGCTCTAGACTAGTGTTTAACAGCAGACGGCATTCTAGGTTAGTTTGTAACATTAGATGGCACTCTAGACTAGTGTTTAACAACTGATGGTGCTCTAGACTAGTGTTTAACAGAAGATGGTGCTCTAGGCTTGTTTTTAAACTACAGATTGTGCTTTAGGTTAGGCTTTAAACCCCAGATGGCGCTCTAGGCTAGGTTTTTCCTTCTTCTGGTCATGTGGTATGATGATGTCATCTTTTTTTTTGAGAGATTTGATTTTTTCCCCCTCTGTAAACACATTATCCACAAACGTTTGTTTCAGGGCACAGACAATGCTGCTGTCATGTGGACGAAAGGCCAAAACAGTATTAACTATATTAAACAATACCATTTTGAGAATTTCCCTAAATCAGCATTCTGCACAACATTGCACATTTGATCACGCATTCCTTCTTTCTCCTAACACACATTTGTTTGTCAGCATGGGAAGAGCGCTCATGAATATACAAAGCGAACACTAGCCTCTGTAGCTTACTAGCTTAGCTCAATATCTCCTGACCCTTGACTAATTATCAGGAGTGCCAAGCTGAGAGCGTTCGACCCTGAATCTAATTTGAAGCCGCATTAAGATGCATGACAAACGCTGTCTTTTTGACACCTTCCAGAGGGGGAAGAAAAACCCTGCAAGAAATGTGGTGTTTTAACAAGGAAGAGCCGGCGTCTGTGAATAATATAAGTGTCTGCTGTAAATTACATTTGAGAGTGCAAACGCAATAAATAATGAACTGATAATATGCGTTGGAGGACACAGGAAGAGCGAGTTGTGTGTGCCAAGCGGACTGTGCCATTAGATGGAGAAATACTGTTGTGTGGCTTAATGGAGGCCAAATGAAGAATTCCACTCTTTTAATAACGCTTGTTATAATTAAACTCCTCCACAAGTGCAGGGCACGAGAGAGAAAGAGAGAGAGAGAACGAGCGCAGGACGTCTCCAAATTATAAATCATTCATCCTCGGCAGGGTTCCGCCTTTGTTCCCTTGGAAACAGATGTGCGGGGCTCAACTTTGACATCTGATTGGCGGAAAGGGATTGACAGGGGCACGGCACACGAGGGCTGAAACAGAATACATCTGATTTGCTGAAATTCCTCCTGCCGAAAAGAGTACCCATCCTCGAATCAATACTCTTTAGAGAATTCCAAGCGCTTGTGCTCGATACTGCGCGGTGGGAGGCAAGACATTTAGGGTTTCATTAATATCTGAAATGACTAAACAAGTTCAGCAAGCCAGGAGGGTGAACGTTCGCAAAGTCTACTTAATTATCCTGAATAAAATATGAAGTGGCAACTGTGAAATGATGTGGAACCGATTGGTTTAGGCACAAATTCTCTCTCTTCATCTGATCTCGGAGACTCAAATATGTACTGAAGACTTTATATTGTTTGGATGGTAACAGCCACATGCCAAACATCCACAAATATGCTGTCATCTGACGAACATGAGGATGCTTCAGCTGAAGTGATGGTCTGTAAAATGAGTGGAGGCTAATTATTGACTCCATCCTGGCAGTGTGTTAGTATAGCTCTTTGTACTCTATACAACAGTCAGTCGATACCGTATTGACAGAGAGCGGTAATCTATAAGCATAATGAGCTCAAAGAAGAACTTTGTATTACCATGATCAAGAGCACTTGAGAAATCATCAGATAACAGTCATAGTCAGCATATTGAGCAGATTCTGCTTTACGAGACAAAAAGAAATCCTAAAAGTGTAGAGGTCAGAATCTGCAGCCTCTTTAAGGGAACTTCTTTAGTTCCTGAGGAAATGCTCGTCTTGCTTCCACAATGAAATATATAAAATGAACACCACAGTTCCTCTTCTTAGAAGCACACAAATTAGGCGCTTGAGTAAAAGTGCAGATACCCTACTATAACCTTACTGCAGCACAAGTCTTTACCTGGTTTTTAATTTACATTTAGTCATATAGCAGATGCTTTCTCTAAAGAGACTTACAAATGAGGAGGGACAATATATTTATATATTTATTACATTATAATCTGAGTAAAAGCGTGTGAAATCAAATTCACATGCTGAACTTTATTTACTGGAGCCTTACAGATCATTTGAACTGGTGAATCATTTACTGTAGACTCACTCTGAACAGATCTTTGAATAAATTTATCATTTACTGGTGCCTGACTCTGAATAGATCATTTGAACCGGTGAATCATTTGCTAGAGACTCACTCTGAACGGATCGTTTGAACTGGTCAATCATTTACTGGAGACTCAATGGATCTTTGAATCAGTGAGTTGTTGACTGGATGTTCACTCTGAATGGATAATTTGAATCAGTGAGTTGTTTACTGGATGTTCACTGAATGGATTATTTAAATCAGTGAGTTGTTTACTTAAAGTTCACTCTAAATTGTTCATTTGAATCAGTGAGTTGATTACTGGAGACTTACTCTAAGTGGATCATTTGAATCAGTGAGTTGTTTACTGGATGTTTTCTCTGAACAAATCATTTGAATCAGTGAGTTGTTTACTGGATGTTTACTCTGAATGGATAATTTAAATCAGTGAGTTGTTTACTGGATGTTCACTCTGAATGGATCACTTGAATCAGTGAGTTGTTTACTGGTTGTTCACTCTAAATGGATCATTTGAATCAGTGAGTTGTTTACTGGATGGTCACTCTGAATAGATCATTAGAATCAGTGAGTTGTTTACTGGATGTTCACTCTAAATGGATCATTTGAATCAGTGAGTTGTTTACTGGATGGTCACTCTGAATAGATCATTAGAATCAGTGAGTTGTTTACTAGTTGTTCACTCCAAATGGATCATTTGAATCAATGAGTTGTTTACTGGATGGTCACTCTGAATAGATCATTAGAATCAGTGAGTTGTTTACTAGTTGTTCACTCCAAATGGACCATTTGAATCAGTGAGTTGTTTACTAGTTGTTCACTCCAAATGGACCATTTGAATCAGTGAGTTGTTTACTGGATGTTCACTCTGAATGAATCATTTGAATCAGTGAGTTGTTGACACATAAACAGAAGGAAAATAATCTATTAAACGTATGAATATATACATGAGTAAATTGGTGAATTGAATTATGTTGTTAGGGTGACCACCGCTGCTTAGTTGAGATTATTCCTTTAATTCAATTAGCTTCTCAGGACAATATTTTGATAGCAATAAAAAAACAAATCTGCCTACCAGACCTGCCCCAGCAAATATTTGGCTGTGGGTCACGTCTGTTATTAGCCCCCCGAGGAGTCTCTGTGGCTCTTTCCAGTCAGGCAGAGATTATAAAACAAGTCTGGGTTTTCAGGGCACCCTTGGGGTTTGGGTCACTGAAAAGACCCAATGTGCAAGAAAAGGCCTGCAGAGGTGCTACAGTGTTCGAGTAATCAACACAATGACGGCTGCCAAGAGTTCTTCACAGACCAAAATAGACATGCACTAATAATCTGCATGTGAGTTTATTCTACAATGCAGAAGTGCACACAGCTTTGCAATCGTTTACTATGAGAGAAATGATTAGGAATAATAATCGGTCAAACTGCTTGCTCTATTAACAAGTGTGTTCATGACTATACATATAAAGTGGAACATGCATAAGGAAAATATCAGCTTGCAACATCACGCAGCATAAACAAGCCATGTTTAACATCTAAAAGTAAAAAAGAAGTCTCCAATGTCTGCGCCTGCTTGTATGCATATAAAGAATAAGGTCAATTCTAGTGTGTGGCCATGCTTTGGGTTAGTTATTGTCTCTCAGACATTAGGATCGTGTTAGTTTCTCCCAGATGCAGCTCATACAACAGTCTTTGTTGGGGTTACAAGCATCTGTTGGCCAGAAAGACTCACTGGGGCCAGAGCAAACCAATGCATTTGGGTTTTAACATTCCCTGGCTGACGACCAAAGGGCAAAACTCAGCAGATGTTGCTGCTGGTCTTCAACAGAGGACGACACTGTTGTCTGTGGATAAAGCATAGAGCTCAACATTGCAGAAGCTACAATCATTTGTCTAGCCATTCATTCATTCATTTTCCTTCGGCTTAGTCCCTTATTTATCAGGGGTCGCTACAGTGGAATGAACCGCCAACTATTCCAGCTGTTTTATACAGTGGATGCCTTTCTAGCTGCAACCCAGTACTGGGAAACACCCATACACTCTCATTCACTACAGGCAACTTCCCTACAGAGCATGTGTTTGGACTGTGGGGGAAACCGGAGCACCCGGAGGAAACCTACGCCAACACGGGGAGAACATGCAAACTCCACACTCAAACGCCAACTGACCCAGCCGGGACTTGAATCAGTGACCTTCTTGCTGTGAAGCCACAATGCTAACCACTGAGATATTGTGCTGCCCATTTCCAGCCCAAATCCTCCACTACTCGTTCATAAAATACTGCTATCTACAGTATATGCGTGAATGGTTCAATACCTGAATCCACTCTTTATTCGTGTCCTCCAAAGGCGTCCAGCCGTTCTCTGGGTTGTTGAGTCGTGATCGTTCTGCTGACCAGCTGTTGCTGTACTGGGACGAGGCCATGATTTGGTCCGAATGGATTTCCCCAGTTTCCATACCCAAAGGCTCAGTGCAGTCAAAGTCTGGAAAAAAGCAGACAGAGAGAAAAAATGACGGAGGGGGGGAAGGGGAGAGCTGTTAAAAAGTCATTTCATGATCTAAATAAAGAATACATCAGATCACAGCCCAAGCTAAAAAGCCTTTCTCTTGGGAACGGGCCACTCAGTACCACAGGTTTCCATCTCTGAGCACCAGAATAAAAGATGCACAGTCCTCTTTCTCTCACTCCTTACAGGAAAAGAAGGTTAAATGGAAGTGGGAAGTGTAGCACATTAAGACGCAGAGCTTTATTCATAAAACATTCAGTTTAAGCTCTTAAGTCCAGCATGAAAAGTCATGAGGGTTATAAAAGGAGTGCAGAGTTAAAGGGGTAGTTCACTCCAAAATGAAAATTCTGTCATTATTTACCTATTACTCACCTGTTCCAAACCTATTGGGTTTCTTACTTGAGTTGAACTAAAAAGAAGATAATTTGAAGAATGCTAGAATTCTGTAACCATTGACTTCCCATAGGGGAGAGTAAATAGCGGCTCAAAGTTCATTCCAGAAGATATTTTGAAGAATGCTGGAAAGCAACTATTGCCTTCCATTGCATTTGTTTTTCCAACTATTGAAGTCGGTGGTTACAGGTTTTCAGCTTACTTTAAATATATATTCTTTTGTGTTCAATGGGATAAAGAAAATCAAATAGGTTTCGAACTAATTGAGGGAGAGAAAATGGTGAATACAATTTTATTAACTGTTTTTTCAAAGTTCATCAAAAAAGACAAATCTGTCATCGTTTACTCACTTGTTTGTTTCTTCTCTTGACCACAAAAGAAGATATTTGAGAGAATGCTGGAATTCTGTAACCGTTGACTTCCATTGCATTTGTTTTTCCTGCCTGATCTCACGAGAAAATGTAATTATTTTACATTGTGTCAGTTTATTAGCCAATTGATGAAAGTTAATAAAAAAAAAGAGAATTCTGCCACCGTTCAAAACCTATTTAAGTTTCTTTATCCTGTTGAACACAACAGAAGATATTTTGAAACCTGCTGTAAACCTGTAACTATTGACTTCCACAATATTTCTGTTTCCTACTATTGAAGTCAATGGTTACAGGCTTTTAGCTTTCTTTTAAAATATCTTATTTTGAGTTCAACAGAAGAAAGAAACTCATAAAGGTTTAGTATAGTAAAGTTAATAGTAATAAATATTGAGAAAATTTTCATTTTTGGGATTAAGTTTATAAAAAACAAAAGTATATTATGTCATTGTTCAATTCTGTCATTGACTTCCATTGCATTTGTTTTTCCTACAATTGAAGTCAATGGTTACAGGTTTTCAGCATTCTTCAAATTAACTCATTTTGTGTTCAACAGAAGAAAGAAACTCATACAGGTTTAGAAATACTTGACGGAGAGTAAATAATGAGTAAATTTTCAGTTTTTGGGTGAACTATCCCTTTAAAATGATACAAAAATGAAAATTCTGTCATCGTTCAAAACCTATTTGAGCTTCTTCAAACTGTTGAACACAACAGAAGATGTTTTGAAGAATGCTGATTGCTGAAACTCACTTACAGTCATAGTATTCATTTTTACTACTATGGAAGTAAATAAGCGCCAGCAACCAGCATTCTTCAAAACATCTTCTGTTGTGTAGAGACTCTATAACACTTTAGTATATGGACCAATTCTCACTATCACCTCTTTGCTTATTATTTATTAAGATATAGACAGTTTATTAGTACTTATAAAGCATACATTAAGCACATTCTTATTCTAATCCAACCAAATAATCACTCTTTAGCAAATTAGAAGTTTATTGAGCTAAAGGTCTTAGTTAATGGTGTGATAATAGCGAGAACTGTACTATAAAACTAAATTAAAGTGTGACCAAAAACTCATAAAGGTTTAAAACCACATGAGAGAGAGAGAGAGAGAGAGAGAGAGAGAGAGAGAGAGAGAGAGAGAGAGTAAACAATGAGGTGATTTTCATTTTGGGGAGTGCTGCCCCTTTAAATAGCACATGGGAAAACTATTCCCCCAACATCAGTGTTTGTAGAAAAGGAAAATCAGAGACGGTCATAGCAAAGCAGGTTGTATATCACTCCACATGCCATGCCACCCAGAATTAGCCTATTGCTGATTGTTTTGTGATGTCGTGTGGCCGTGTGTCTGAAGCAAGCAAAACACATGCTTTGACCTCCAGGGGCCTTCATCCAGACAGGATTTAGGAGACATGCTAATTTATTTACGAGAGGTCACAGACACCAAACAAACACACAGATGTAAAGATGCTGAAACAGTGTGAGCTCATGTTCACTAATATAACAATGAAAGTGCACGCAGGTCAGATACACACACACATATATACAACGGAGCCTACAGTAAATATGCAGACCTAAACATAGGTTGCAGATGGAGAAAGCATGTGTGTGTTTGACAGACAGTAGCATTATTGGTGTAATTTGTTTGGCACCGTAAGCCTTGTTCTAAAAACATTGCAGGCCATCAGCCAGAACAGAAATAAACACTTTATTTTTGCTACTACACTTGCTACTATCAGTTTACACATTTATTTTATTGTAAATAAACCAATCACCGAGTGTAGTGTACGCTGACAGGCTGCACCATTCTGGATGAAATAAGAGTCATGATGTTTTTTAATTTGAATAAAGATCACGATTCTGTAGTAACTTTATTTTAATAATAAAATAATAAATCATACGCATCTACAATCAAATTTAATGTAATGTCATGTAAGAAATAGGTCATAATTCGCTAAACTCACGGCACAATATGATCCCAATTATTATTATTATTATTATTTCTCAAACACGTAGTAAAAATAAATCAAATGCAGGGATATCATCAGTTAAATTGCTAAATTTATTATAGACCTGGGGCGGTGAACTCATTAATAATAAATAACCTTAAATGTGTCAACTAATGTGTGATTTTGCAGTTACGAATAAGTCATTAGGCAATGTAGAACATGAAGACAAACTTGAAAATAAACTTGAAAATACAGTAAAGCAAAGTACAGTAATAAAGTAAATACAACAATACTCATTCAATGCTTTTTAGAGTCTGTTCAGAACAACATGTGCTTAAATATATGGGGCTGAATCATAGAAATGCTGGACTAAGATTGTCTGGGGGTCAAATCAAGATCAAAACATAAAATAAAATAAATGATTACAGATTTAGATTCAGGTGCATTTTCACAGCAAAACACAAGAACTGAATTAAATAATCACATTTATTTTTATAAAAAGCCCTATATATATATATATATATATTGCCCACGCAAAATCCTCTATGGTCTGACTAAAATAATTTTTGACTATAATTTCAGTATAGAAATGCATGCTTAGAAGTATTTAGGGCAAGAATGACCTAACAGATTCAATTTGCATGAGAGCACAATTCCAAAAGTGTACCAATGAGCATGCACATTTCTACAGATGATTTACCAACAACTTACAAATTAAACAACAATGACTTAACATCTCATTTACATACTGACCAGCACAATCATATTAATGATGTGATAAATGAAGAGAAGTGTAATAAGGTGATCTACTATGACCAAAAATTACAGTATCTATCTATCTATCTATCTATCTATCTATCTATCTATCTATCTATCTATCTATCTATCTATCTATCTATCTATCTATCTATCTATCTATCTATCTATCTATCTATCTATCTATCTATCTATCTATCTATCTGTCTATCTATCTGTCTATCCATCCATCTGCAAAATATGACTGTATTTATTTGAGAGTCAGATTTTGACAGTTCAGGAGCAGAAAACCTGAAGCAAAATGAAAATGACATTTGGCAAACAATATATTCAGGAAATTCTCTGGCATTAATAAAATAAATATGTGTGGACAGATTGGAATTCAGTGTCTGTTCTCAAGTCGATCTCATGCCAACATTTATAATGCAAATACCTGTAATTCAAGGAGTGCAAGCATTGGTAAATCATTGTTTGATTCATTTAAATACTCATTTAAATACTTAATACATAATATTAGCATCTGACCGGGAAACTCTTACAAATGCATATTGAGGGGGGACAGCCGTAAAAATAGCTTTGCACACTTTTACATTGCTATTATTCACCCTTTACCAGGGGTGTCCAAACTTGTTTCTGGAGGGCTGGTGTCCTTAAGAGTTTAGCTCCAACCTTAATCAAACACACCTGAACTAGCTAATCAAGCTCTTACTAATTATACTAGAAACATCCTGGCAGGTGTGTTGAAGCAAGCTGGAGCTAAACTCAACAGGACACCGGCCCTCCAGGACCATGTTTGGACACCCTTGCCCTATACCCTATAGTTATATTATATTTACCCTATAGTTGTAGAAAACTACAATACGGGTCATTTTTATGTTACTGTAGTAGTTTAATTGTAGTACTTTACATTAGTATGGTTTAAAAAATAGCTTTCCACACCTTTTCCTTGCTATTCTTCACTGTGTATCTTGAGTAAATGCAGACAGTGCTGTTTTAATGGCAAAAGTCTTTAAATGACGTTAATAAATCTGGATTTTAATATGTGTATGAGTTGATAGTCATATAGACAGAACTCATCGCCTGTCCTGATCCCCTCTATTTTAATTTTTTTTGTAATTTGGCACTTGTCAATTCTCTTTATTGACTATTTGTAAAGGTATTTGTGTCTGCTATGCACTTTAAAGCAATTGATTAGATAATCCCAGTGTTTTCCTAGCCACAACAGCTAACGGCAAATTACATTAAAGCCAAAAGAAGTCCTTTTAAGTGTGTGCGCCTCATGAATTTCTCTCTTTTACCCTTGAAAAACTTCATCTTAACATGATTACTCATTCTCTTCTGCTCTTTTATATCTCTCTATCTCTCCCAGCCATCTATCCACTCTCCACCCTTTCATTCTTTAGAACAATGACTGAAAACAAGCAGATCTGTGCTCTGATTACATCTGGCATCCGTCACTGTTGGTCCCGCTCGGCAGAGACCATAAATCTATGACGCTTCTCTGACAAAAATCCTTCGCTTAAAGACTTATTGCCAATGGCCATATCCTTCCTTTCCTGCGAAGCACAATATACTGGTAAACATGTCGAACTGCGAGGGAAGCTGCCACAGAATGTAAATTTATGGAGGCAATAAATAATTGATAGACTGCGACTGTTGGGCAAAGCCCCTGCTGTGAACACACCGAATATATTCCTGAGCTGGGATGCTTTAGATGTAGCACACACACACAGACACACACCTTCATATGTTCAGGGAGCATACAGATAACATGGAACAACAGTTCACAGTATTACTGGAAACATCCCACATGAACAAAAATACTACAGTAATTTATAGTAAATAGTGTTTTACAGTAATCATACTATAGTAAATGTTATTGTATTTACTGCTCTTTGTTATCAGTATCAACAATAGAGAATTGATGAACTGGAAAAAAATACTGTAGTATACAACATTTTACTACAGTAAACTGTGGTGTATTGTAGTATATTATACCCTATGATTTACAGAATTGGGTTTTTGTTTGTATTACCCCATATAAACACGATACTATAGTAACTTTAGTAAATACTGTAGTGTATCTGAACAATAACCATTGTTAATAAATGATCCAGCAAACTGTAGTATTAACAGTAATGAACTGATAAACTGTAATAAATACTGTACTATACTTTACTTCAGTAAACTGTGGTGTACTGTAGTATAATATACCCTGTAGTTGTAGAAAACTACAGTATTGGTTCATCTGTTTATATTACTGTAGTTGTTGTGTTACCATAGCATGTGTAGAAATAGCACAACCTATTCATTTAAAAACACTACAGTATTTACTATAAGTTACTGTAGTATTTTGTCAAAGGCAAATTGAAAAAAAACAATGTTTTTTCAGAACATCCCATATGAAAATAATACTATGGTAACATATAGTTAATACTATAGTGTTTCTAAACTATAACCATTGTTAATAAATGCTCCAGCAAACTGTAGTATTAATAATAGTGAATTGATAATCCCTAATAAATACTGTAGTGTACTGTAGTATACTTTACTATAGTAAACTGTGGTCTATTGTAGTATAATATACCCTATAGTTGTCGAAAACTACAGTATTGGGTCATTTGTTTATAATATTGCAGTTATTGTGTTACGAATTAGCACAACCTACTAATTCAAGTACTTGACAATAGCATGGTTTAAAAGCGCTGCTGTAATTAAGTTATTAAATTGGTTATAATTAGTATTTAAAATATCAACTTATATCAAAAGTTACTATAGTATTTTTTTCATAGGCAAAATGTAAAAAAATGGTTCTTTTGAAACCATCTAATATGAAAAAAATATATAGTAACTTATAGTAAATACTATAGTGTAATATAATGAACCATATTTTAACAAAGTATAATAGTATAGTATTAAAAAACATTGTTAATAAATGCTCCAGCAAACTGTAGTTTAACAGTAATGAACTGATAAACTGTAATAAATACTGTAGTATACTGTACTTCAGTAAACTGTGGTGTACTGTAGTATAATATACCCTATAGTTGTAGAAAACTACAGTATTGGGTCATCTGTTTATATTACTGTAGTTGTTGTGTTTCCATAGTGTGTGTAGAAATAGCACAACCTATTCATTAAAGGACTTTACAATAGCATGCTTTAATGACACTACAGTATTTACTATAAGTTCCTATAATAATTTTTCATAGACAAAATGAAAAAAACATTGTTTTTTCAGACCATCCCATATGAGAATAATACTATGGTAACATATAGTTAATACTATAGTGTTTCTAAACAATAAGCATTGTTAATAAATGCTCCAGCAAACTGTACTATTAATAACAGTGAACTGATAAACTGTAATAAATACTGTAGTATACTTTACTATAGTAAACTGTGGTGTACTGTAGTATAATATACCCTATAGTTGTAGAAAACTACAGTATTGGGTCATCTGTTTATATTACTGTAGCTGTTGTTCCCATAGCGTAGAATTAATTAACTCTAGGACATTACATTATGGTTAAAACCCCTAAAACACTATAGTATGCTGTCATATGGGATGCATGACAGCAGCGATTAGTTTTAATGTACTGAATATCTGTGCTGATTCACAAGCACTAATAACCTCTGATCGGGTTTGTATGAAACAGAAGGAGACAGTGTGTCTAGGGATAGATTTGCATGCGCTGCATGATTGTGGGTGAGGGTTACTGGTGTGTCCTGAAATTAAATGTTTAGTCGGGGTATTTCTCAAATTGGGTTGAAGAGGTGAACCCTTTGGGTGAGCAAGTTTTGGGTTGAAAACGAGAGCACACCAGCCTCCATAAAGAAGGGCAGATGGGTCGTGACTCCTAACACAATCACTTAATGAAAGAGGGCCACAGCTGATTCAACAGCTTCCCGTCTTACATCATGTGTGTGTGTGTGCGTGTGAAAGTGGGATATGGGTTTCTACCCCACCCATCAGGAAATGCTTCAGCTTTGTGAAGACATTCACAGCAAACATTCGCTAACATTCCTGTGTTGTTCTGAAAACGGCACTGTCAAACAACTCATGCTCATTCATTCATTTTCCTTCGGTTTAGTCCCTTATTCACCAAGGGTTGCCACAGCGGAATGAACCGCCAACGATTCCAGCATATGTTTTATGCAGCGGATGCCCTTTCAGCTGCAACCCAGTACTGGAAAACACTCATAAACACTCACATTTACACAAACACTCATACACTATGTCCGATTTAGTAATCAGTTCCCCTATAGGGCATGTGTTTGGACTGTGGGGGAAATCTGAGCACCTGGAGGAAACCCATGCCAACACAGGGAGAACATGCAAACTCCACACAGAAACATGAACTGACCCAGTCGTGACTCAATCCAGCAATCTTCTTGTTGTGAGGCCAAACAGATGTGCTACAGGGGAATTGGATGAAATAAATTGGCTGTAGAGTATGAATGTGTGTATAAATGAGTGTTTCCCAGTATTGGGTTGCTGCTGGAAGGGCATTTGCTGCGTAACGCATATGATAGAATAGTTGAAGGTTCATTCCGCTGTGGCGAATATCTGATTATTAAGGGACTAAACTGAAGGAAAATTAATGAATTTTGTAAACTGTTTTGTTCTTTGACTTACCATCAGGAACCGTCCTTTCCAGCACAGTGAAATTAGCTGAAAATCCTTCTTTAGCAATAGCGCTGTCTGTGTTGATTGTCATGGCCAAAGTTCCAGTGTAGGATATGATCCGTCCTGGAGTATTCTGTCCGCAGTATCTGCCGATGTATGGACCAACTGTGAACAGAGACAAAGAGAGAGAGGCATGATTAAATACGTTCAATCAATAATCCAGAATTCAACCCTTGTGCACGGTTCAAATGGACTACCATTTGGTTAGGTTGGAGCTGTTTTTGCCTCATTGAATTCCATTATAAGCACATTTTTGATCGCAAAGCCATGACAGCATATAATCATGCATTTTTGATTTTTTCTGTTTTTTTCTGTTGGGAAGAGGTGACATTTGTCATGTTTACTGTTGATTATCAGGTGGCAGCATTAACCCTTTAGATTAGAGATGCCCAAAGTAGGGCATCTCAAATTTAACGTAACCTTTTGTTTCTTTGTTTTATTGCTGAGGTACAAAAAAGCCAACTTAAATTAAGTGATTCACTTAAATACTGTAAATGAATCCGATTTTTAAAATGTAACTACAGTCTCCTGACAGATGCACAAGACATCTGCGAGTGAATCAAAGCTTGACTAGTGTATTCAGCATTGAACTTAAGCTATAAATGAGATTGTTTATGTTTTACTGTAATAAGTTCATTATAGAATGCTAAAAATGATCCTGCATTAGTCAACATTAAAGCGATGTTTAGTTATTTTCAAATATTACAGAATAAATTAGAAAATTATCCATGGCAAATTGAATACGTACAGTTTGATTATATTCAGCCCACAGCCCTCAATCAGGTTTGCTTTTTGGCCTTTTATAGAAAAAGGTTGGGCACCCCTGCTTTAGATAGAAACAGGTTTCTGGCTTTTATTCTTGACAGATTATAACGTGCGTGCAAAAACACACTAGTAAATGTAGGTAGTGAATTTTTTAGGCACTAGAATGTTCTCAGAGTTTATTGTCGAGTTTCTTTCCCAAAATATACAGCAGGGAAAATAAGTATTGAACACGTCAACATTTTCCTCAGTAAACATATTTCTAAAGATGCTGTTGATTTAAAAACCTTCCCAGATGTTGGAAACAACCAGATTAATCCATATTTGCAAAGGAAACACATCTAATTAGTTTACAAATAAAGTTATGAGTAATAAAATGAAATGACTAAGGGAAAATGTACTGAACACATGAAGAAAGGAAGGTGCAGTTCAGCAGTGAAAGCCCAGACAGCAGCTGGAATCTCTCAGTAGTTCTTTAGTAACCCTCTGCCCTTCCTCAGTGTAAATGAACATCAGCTGCTTCAGTTCAACATCTACATTATCAGGAGGATGAAGATGAAACCAGGGTGGACATTTCAGCAAGACAATGATCCAAAACACAGCCAAAGAGACTCTCAAATGCTTTCAGAGAAAGAAAATCAAGCTGTACCCAAATTCAATGCAAAATACAAAATAAAGCTCAGAGCTGCTAGATGATACACACAGAACCATCAAGATTTTGACACTCAAACATGAGCAATACACATGCCCTTATTCTCCATGTGAGAGGCATCACCAAAAAGGCTATAAGCATTAAACACATTTCAGTCATTTAGTACTTTGTCCTTGTTTTATTTCATTGTTATTACACATAACAATTTTTTTAAATGATTTGTTTTGTTTTATTTTTATTGTTAGTGTTTTTACCAAAATCTGGTTCAATTCCATGTCAGCAGCTTCTTTAGAAATATTATTCTAAGGAAAATGCATGTCCCCAAAAACATCTATCCATTTTCTGAAACACAGAGAAAGTTGTGGCCAAATTAAGGCTCAAAACCAGCCCAGAGTGCATGAAAACATCCCTAACAGCACACATCTGATACTGTAAGTGTTTTAACGCCAAGGACGGCGACATTGTGTTGATTGCGAAAAACATTCTTTCTACACCTTGTTTCTGATAGAAATGAAAAGGCCAGTGTGTGTGTGTGTGTGTGTGTGTGTGTGTGCGCGCATGTGTGTGTCTGTGACCTTGGCTTTGTGTTTTCAGTGGCGATCATAAATTCCAGCACGTATTGTTCATTCCAGGGCCACTCTGATGTGACTTCCCAGAAGCCACTTTAAAAGAGAAAAGATCGTGTAGGAGTTGTAGGGGACAGGAAGAAAGGAATTGAACACAACCAAGGCTGTAAATGGAGAGTTATGCAGTACGTTCGGCTGAGAGACGTCAATGTTTTGAAGTTGTACTGAAAGGAGGGCTTTTCATACGATGTCACGTCTTTCCAGGTTAAGGCTGCTGTTAAACTCTGGGTTATGCAACGTTTCAGAACTTGCAAGATGAGGTAGATGGCAGTGCGAGAATGTAAAATTGCAATGTTTGGTGACATGCAGCCAATCGTAAACACCCTCAGTGCTTGCCTTATTAATTATTCATGAGCTTGTGCAGCCGCAAAAACTTGAATTACACTGATATTGCACATTTTTGTGCATATTTCGCATACCGGACTGTCAAAAAACAATGGGTTGTCAGTCTAAATATCAAGATTAACCCAAGTTTAACAAAAAAAAACTTGGTCAAATACTTAGTAAATGAGAGTACGAGTACTATAAGGTTGTTCAATTCAATTCAAGTGTATTTGTACAGTGATTTCAACAATGATTATTGTTTCAAAGCAGCTCTACAAAAGATGCACATTACTGCATTACAATCAACTCTGAAAAGTTGACGTTGCCATAACTTTATTAGTTACTAATAACTTAAACTAATTACCAAGTAACTAATAGGTTTAACAGTTAAAGTTATCATATACATGCAAAGTTAACCAGCAGTAATATACAACAAAAAAAATCTTAGTTAATAGTTTATTAACAGCTAAAATCTGAGAAAAATATTACAAAATCAAGATTGAAAGTAACATTATTAGAGATTTTAAGGTTTGTTGTTTCTTTTAAAAGAAAACTCCCTCTTTTTATTGAGAAATATGCTAATTTTACAGCTCTTCTAGAGTAAAACAGTTAAATTTGACATTTTTTTCAATCTATTCAGACAATCTGAGTCTGGTAGGAGCACTTTTAGCTTAGCTTAGCATAAATCATTGAATCGGATTAGACCATTAGCATTTTGCTAAAAAAAAGGCCAAAGAGTTTTAAAAATGTCCCTGTTTAAAGCTTGACTGTACTGTAGTTACGCCATGTACTAAGACTGACAGAAAATTAAAATGTTAATATTTTCTAGGCTAACATGGCTACTAACTATACTTTCATTCCGGTATAATAATCAAAAAACGTATGATTGTTTTTTTTTTTAGTAAAAGCATAAAGCCCTTTGTCCCTGGTTCTACAGCTACATCAGGGCTGGATACAATTTGCATGTACAAAAATGTTGTCTTTCAGAGAGTTAACACATCTTTTTTTCATCCATTTAGTCCATAAGTTTGGCACTTTTAGCATAGCTTAGCATAAATCATTGAATGGGATTAGACCATTAGCATCTTACTAAAAAATGACCTAAGGTTTTAAATAATTTTCCTATTTAAAGCTTGACAATTCTGTAGTTACATCATGTACTAAGATTGACAGAAATTGAAAAGTTGTATATTTTCTTGACTGACATGGCGACAAACTGTACTCTTATTCTGATGTAATAATCAAGTAACGTCACTGCCGTGGCGTAATGGATATAATAATATAATGCAGCGCCTGAAAATAGTTCTGAACAGTTTCCCATGGTTGCAAGATTTTCAAGAAAACCTTAATATGTATATTAGCAAAACACTTTTTTGCAACATTTTTGAGCAAGATGCTAACGGTCTAATCCAATTCAATGATCTATGCTAAGCTAAAATTGTTCCCATAAAATATCTTCTTTTCACTTCAAAGAATTAAACTAAAACAGTTTCTATACAAGTGAACGGTGAGTAAATAATGACAGAATGACAATTTTTGTGTGAACTATCCCTTTAAGAGAAACACACTGTGATTGGCTCTTTAACAATCCGCCCCTGACAGTCCAGCAGAGATTAAAGCAGCTTTGTGCGTGTACGACAACATAAAACAGATCTGCGGCTTTACATTAATCTTCATAAGTATTCATAGAATGTAGAAACAGGTGCATCCAAGTGTGTATAATTGTGTGCCAAGACTCTGGCTCTGGGTGTGGTGAACTCTCCGGATTATCTGCATGACTCAACAGCGCTATGAAATTTTAAAGAGCCTCTTCCATGAATATCCATCCAGCCTGTCTGAAGGGGGCTCCGGATAGACACTGCCAGGCCGGGAGTGCCTCAAAGTGGGCGTCCGCTGGGTGATGGAGGGTTGGGTTTGGGGGCTTGAAGCCACTGAAGCTTCTGTCTCATGCCTCGCAGCCTTTCCACACTAATGCACTTATTGATTGGTGTGGCTCCACAGGTAATGCAGCTAGTGTCTGAAGCGTAGAGAGGAGTTATACTGAAGCCCTCGAGCACCAGTGTCTTGCTTTTAAAGTCTTGTCTTAAACCTCCCTTTTGGCTCTTTGTCTGTGCACCTTTTCATTGTAGACTTTTTTTTTTTGGTAAACAGAGTCCAAAATGCATGCAACCCCTGTCCCTGGTTCTACAGCTCCCTCAAGGTTGGATAGTATTTGCATTCACAAAAAGATGTAGCTTTCTTTTATTATTATTATTATTATTATTATTATTATTATTATTATTATTATTGCAGATTCTGACTTTCAGAATTATTTAACATCTTATTTAGTTTATTGCATTCATTTAAAGGGATAGTTCACCACAAAATTTACTCACTAATTTCATGCTTTTCATTGTGATTTTTACTGGTAAACAGAGTCCAAAAACACATGCAAGCTTTGTTTCTGGTTCTACAGCTCACTCAGGGTTGTATAATATTTGCATTCACTAAATATATTTATTTATTTGCAGATTCGTTAAGTATTAACACATCCTTATTTTTTTGCATTCATTTAAAAATTTAGTTCACCCCCCAAAAATTATTTAGTCACCAATTGCTTGGTTTTCCCTGTAATAATAATAATAAAAAAACATAAGCAATGCAAAATGCATGCAAGTGTTGTCACTGGTTCTACAGCTCCCTTAAGGTTGGATGCAATTTGCATTCACAAATAGGAATTGTTTTGCAGATTGAGTCTAAAAATGATTTAGCATCTTATTTAATTTATTGCATTTAAAGGGATGGTTCACCCCAAAATGTTATTTCACTCACCAATTGCATGCTTTTACATTTCCACACAGTTCCTTCATGTTGACCCAACACAAATCAATTGCATTAACTTTTAGATTGAACATAAAACTAATAAGTTGTCCCCAAAATATCTTAAGAATTGTGTTATTTAAACTCATTTTAAATAAGTAGCTTAAACAAGCAGCAAAAGTTATTTTTTGAGCGTTTAAAGGAATAGTTCACTCAAACACTAAAACTCTGTCATCATTAAGCTGTTGTTTATGTTATGCCTGTTTTTTTTTCTTTTGTTGAACACAATATTTTGAAGAAAGCTGCAAAGCTGTAATCCCGACTTCCATAGTATTAGCTTTTCATACACTGAATAAAATGATTCAAGAATGATTCCATGGATTTACTAATTTTCTTTAAGTTAAGTGGTTATAAACTATTTATTTGAGATGAATTTAATCAAATTAAGTTAAACATTACTAAATTTAATTCACTTGTTTAAATTCAACACATATAAATTGTTTGCAGACATATTTTTTTCAGTGTTCTGTGGAAGTCAATGGTTACAGGTTTTCAGCTCTCTTCAAAATATCTCCTTTTGAACCACTTAAGGGTGAATAAACAGTGAGTAAATTGATAATTTGGGGGTGAACTGTCCTTTTAAAGGCACAGTGTGTTATTTTGGCCACTAGAGGGTGTGTAATAACAACAAACAAAGGTGTATTTTAATGATTGTGGAATGATGGGAGTTGTGGTCTTTAACATCCTACAGGACTCCAGCAGAATCATGTTCATGTTAAATAACATAAGTTTTTGAAAATTAAAATGAATAAACAAATAAAGCCCTGCTTGCTGAAACTAATGTTAAAAATGATAACTGATGGGAAAGCTGAAAAGCCGCCCTCTCAGATCAAAGGTGCCATTCATTCACGGCTTCATTTTCTGTTAAGATGAAGAAGAAGGAAAAAGAAGTTGATAATGAAGTGGAAACAGAATAAGATCTCTGGTCCTCAGACTTCCTTCCCCGCTTTGAGCTGGAATCTTCCTGTTGGGCTGTTGGGTGTGTTTATGCAGCTCAAATACACACTAATATAAACTGCAATTACCTTGAGGAATGGAAGATTTTAGGTGTTATGACAACAGTCTACATTCCAGAGTCTTTCACCCCAATCTGCCCGAGACTAACCCATACTAACAGGAAAAAGTCTCAAATACTACCACAGACAATATTTCGAACTTGGACTGCAATACTTAGTTCAACCACTAGTCGTCAGCCCAACACATTGCACTGTTAAACTAAATAGTTACCAGATTCTTGTTGTCATATATGTTTGTGTTTCTGCACGTCTCTATATGAACATGATCCAACTATATGGCTGCTATTCTGTTAAAGTGTGCGCCTTTTAGAATTAATGTGCAAAAATCATCTGCTAAATGATTATTTTTTTCAGTTTAAGTATTCAGATTTTCTCCATTGACTCACCTCCAGGGAATCCGTCCCAAATCTCCAGGCGGTCGTATCGGCAGAAGACTCCGGCGGGCGGCTGCGTGTCTGGCTCCAGCTCAAAACTCTCGAACTCTAAAACGATTTCTGACATCTTAGGAGCAAAGATCATGAACGTGCAGTCCAAATTATTGGGGTATTTCTCTGGAAATCCGGGCGACTTGATGACTCCGCTGCTGGAGGTGAAGTTCCTGGAACATTCTGGACCTACGGTGGACACAGAGAGGAAGGAAAAAGTGAGCTTTTTTGTTTGTTCACTCGGGCAGACGGAGTAAAGGGGAATAATAACAAACACTGAAGCAGAAACACGGTGGTCTGTGTTGTTTTGCTGGATGATTGCAGGGTTTATGGGCCGTGGTGGAGGCCCACCCTGCTCGGAATATGGCTGATGCTTGATTTTTTGGGGTGTGTTGTGGGCTAATGATGAAAATGAACCCAAAAAGAAAGCACAAGCGCATATGAGGCTGATCTTATTAAATGTTTTATATGCACTCGATGAAGTGACTGGTGCTTGAAACAACATGATTAAGACATAGTGAAGTATCTCCATCATACTCAATAAAACTCACTTTGGATTTAATCAAGGAGCATCAAGGATATTTTAGTAAACGAAGAACTAAAGCTAACAGACAAAAACATGTTTGCTAACTAAGATTTGATCAAATATTCACAATAAATGAAAAGTAAAATGAAATGAACAACATTCACTGAATAACTAAGAGATAAAAATAAAAATGGGAAGAAATATTGATTGTTTTCTAAATTAATAAATATTCATCCTTTCTTTTAGATGCATATATTATCTTTAATATGAAGCTATTTAATAAATTCCTTTCAATGGTGTTTCTTTCATTTTCCAATTTGCCGTTCTGTTTTACTGGATTGAAAAGTGAGATCACATGACTCTCTATAGTCTATTGTAAAATTAAACAGCTGACCTTGGTGCCATCATCTTGAACTTACAGAGCAAATAGAAAAATGACAGGCTACATGACGAGGTTATTTATTTTGTTGTGAAACATATTTGTGTTTGTTGATTTTATATGCATGTATTCCTCTTACCAGAAGCACTAGAGGTAAAATTAGACAACAATGTTCTGTTGTTCAGGCTGCTGTTGTTTGTGCACGTTAAAATAAATCCCTCAAAAGATTTTTCTAAGAGTGAAAGAAAGTTATTAATTGGAAAACAAGCACTTTGTTAAGCGAGAAAGCAAACCGAAACTATCGTACCGTGTCTGTTCAAGCAATTATTTTATTTTTAATACTAGAAGACGCATTAAAACACCTCTTAACTGAAAGTAAATACAAATTAAACAGTAATTTTTTTACCTAAAAAAATGCAATAATGAAACTAAACCTAAACTCAAACTTACCGCAAATGTAAAAATAGTATTAAAATAACCTTCAAAACTATAAGAACATTGAAGTGCACACACACTTTTAAGTACAGGCAAGTCAAAACATTTACCCAGAAGTCCCAGGTGGACTAGCCTTGTTGATGTTCGCACATACATCACTACTTTGCACTTACATGACGTCGCTCTGCTAAAGCTGTTGTGTGATGAATATCCTCAGAGCTCTGAGAGTAAATATGCTCTTGTTTAAGAGTGATGCACACAAGATCACCTCTGGACCATCAACATCCAAATGTCAACATTATATTTGCACTGTCCCTATTGTGGTGTATGGGTTTTGGCTTGATTTACTGTGCGTGTCTTCATTTTAATTTTTGGTCAAACTTTGTGTAAAATAATGAACAATCAAAGGATAAACGGTTAGGACAGAATGACAAGAAAGCGCTAAAGACTATAATATAAGAATCTGGCATCCTTAAGTGGATTTTAAAGAGCTTTTTTCTTTGTTATTTGGGGAAACTTGTTAGGTGCATAATTTAATGCAATCAAAAACTCTTCACCACCAATTTCTACCACCAAATCCGCTAGCAGCTTCTTTTTTTATTATTTCTTTTTCCACTTTTTCTATGCTCCAAAGAAAATGACCAGCACAGGAATCTGAAGCTAAAGTGAGTTGACATTTAGTGCACTACTTGGTTGGTTTTTAAACAGCAGGACATAAATTCCACACTTTCAGTCCTTTCATTATACAGAGAGCTTTTACAATGCCAGACATTTTATATTACATTTTCTTTCATACATAAGAAATAAAAAGCTTTGTGTGGCCCTCCTAAACCCTATAGGCCTTCACTCTGATCCACAGGTGTCTGCTATTACCTATTGGGAGAACATGTCATGTGGACTGGACAGGGTAATTGCACAAACACTTTTAAGGTTTAGGGTTGGAAGCTGTCGACTCAATGGTCAGCAATCAGTGTCCAAAACTTTGAAATGAAACCTAAAAGCTTATAAAAGAGCCATTTGATGACGCAGCCCAAAACATTCTTCATCTTTAGTTTTTGGTACAGTTGCATAAGTGCCAGCACTGAATTTTCTGTAGATAATCTTCTGTGCAGCTCCACGGGGCAAGAAGGAATTGCATTTTTCCTTTTCGCAAGATAAGAACACACTTCATCTGCTGCTATTTCTTACTTTATTTAAGAAGTGAATGCTCGAATATTATCTTCCAAAAGCCCAAAACACACTTGGAGCAAGAGCACAAGTCAACGGAAGGATGGAGGGACAGACAGATAGATAAATATATAGATGGAGTGATGAATAGATAAATAAAAAGATGTATGGATGGATGGATGTAAAATGGATAGACAGAAATAACTAACTTTGCTCTCTGCATGTTGTAGTTTTAGTGCATAATGGTAGAATGATAGAAGGACAGAATGGTGGATATGGATGGATGGATGGATGGACGGACGGATATAATCATGGATAAAAAGATGGATAAATAAATAGAAAGATGGATGGATTGATAGAATGATGGATGGATGGATGGATGGATGGATAGCTCTAACTGACTTTGCTGCATATGTTGTAGTTTTAGTGCATTGTGATAGAACGATGGATGGATGGATGGATGGATGGATGGATGGATGGATGGATGGATGGATGGATGGAAATTATAGAATAGAAATAATACATTTTTTACCATTAGATGCTAGTTATTTTCAAACACTTTTTTTTTTAAATCCAGTATAAAAGTTTTTATTTGTCATAACAGGTCTCCTTTAATCGATCTGTGTTGGAACCCTTCATTTTTAGTGTGGTTTATTTTGCTTTTCCTCACTGACATGTATATGTTAACGTGTAGTGGAGTGACCGAAGGCCTCTGTGGAATATGCTGAGTTTATTTAACAGGCCAGAGGCAATGCTTGTTAAAAAGACGGCTTGCAGGTCTCAGTTTAGTGCAAACAAACCTGGCCGAGTGTCAGAGATTTAATCCTCATGTTCTGTTGAGATTAGCTTTACTGCTGTTATGTTTAGGGTCCCAAAGACCCCGGTGGTGCATATGTAACATTTCTGTCATTTAGAAATGATCATCCTCGTTTATTTTAGGAAACTTCTAACTTAATTAAATCCAGACTTTGCGGAAACTGCATGCATATGTAGACTAAAGTCCCAAACACTCCAAAAAATGACATTATAATTATGCTTCTCTATTCTTCTCTCTCTCTACACACACATTTATATATATTGAAACCGCTTCCCTAAGGTTTCTCAGAAATGTGCTAAAGTTTTGTTTGTTAGCCCAGCTCTGCAAACCTGCGCTGACACAGCTGAGATTTGAGTTGCCAGATCCCTCAGCAAACGTCCGAGTTAACACTGACGCAGGAACAAAATAGCTTAAGGTGTTGTGGGTCTAGTGAGCTAATCACTGTTGTTTATATTCCATATACTGGATCTGGAGGGAGAATAATTAATCTGGGCATGCACACACACATACACACACACACACACACACCTTTCCCTGCCGTTTACCCCCGTGGCTACACTAAGACGGGATAATGGGAGCGATGAGAGTTTGAGAAGCAAAATTTGGCCAGACTTTCCAGCACACATTAATCTGGAGCCACAGCTGTGTGTTACGCAGAACACCGCTAACACTGCAGAACTTGCTTTTCTTCAGAGTTTCAGTCATGTTTCTAGTCCAAATATCTACTAATTTTTTTAATTAAGACAAGCAAAAACTACAGTTCTATATTAAATGGATATAGTAATACTTCAGAAATAAAGAGCCAAAGTTTCTCTTTAAAACAAGCCAAATAATCTGTCAATGGGGGAAGCCAAATAATGTTATTTAAAAGCAAAAACAACATTATTTTGCTTGTTTTAAAGAAAAAAAATCACTTCATTTTGACACATTATTTTGGAAAAGAAGAAAATATGTTATGCTTGTCTATAAATGCCTCCTGATGTAAGATTGAGATATTTGAAATTAAAACAAGACAAAAAAAAAACTAAGAAAAGCATTTTTTGCAGTGTATTATCTACAGCTGCTGGCAGTATGAAATGCTCTTGTTGGGAATAATTGCTTAAGCTTTTATTACAATATGCGATATTATCATGATATTGACATAAGCTGCAAAAAAGATTTATTAAACAGTCATAAAAAATTCAATAAAACAAAACCTTAGTATTTTGCTCTTTGGTATATGTGTTCAGGGTAAATAGATGTTAACAAATTAAATTAAGTCTAATTAGAAAATGTTAACTAATGCATTATAAGCTGCAGTGAGAATACACCAAAAATAGTAGTGTCAAAAAAAATGCAACAGACAATTTTAGCTAATAACTCCATTTATTAAAAAGCATTACAAGTAACACGATTTATGCAATATTATTACTTTTTAAAGTAACAAGTAAGAATTACTTAAAAAAATTCAAAAGTAAGAATATTTGAGTTACTGTAAACATGTAAAGTTACATTTTGTTTTAATTAATCAGCGTTTAAATAAACATTTCTGAATTAAGTCACGTTAAATAACACACATAAAAGAATACGCTCATTATTTTGAATGCATCATTAATTGCATCTGTATATACGGCATGTAAAGCTCTGGGATCAGAAAGATAACATTATCCTACATTATTATTTTCGGTGTGTATCTTTAAAATGTAAATGAAGGTGAAGGTTATACAGTGCATTGTTCATTGCAGACCCCCCTGCAAGTTCTGAAAGAGATCAAGCCTCAGCAAAGGTAAGAAAAAGCAACTAAAATATAACATACCGCATTACCTACTATAAAAAGTAACTAAGTAATGCAAGTTTTTTGGAGAGAGCGTAACTCAATATAGTAA